TCCACAAACACATCCATCCATCCATCATCCATCCACTGACCCACTATCCATCCATCCATCATCCATCCATCCATCCATCCACCCACCTATCTACCCAACCACTCCTCCATCATCCATCCATCCACCCACCCACCCACCTAACCATCCATCCAACCATCCATCCATCCACCCACCCATCCAACCATCCATCCAACCACCCATCCATCCATCCACCCACCACCCACCTATCCATCCATCCGTCCATTATCCATCCACCCATCCACTCTTCCACACAACCAGCCATCCAATAAACCTTTAATGAGTATATCCATGGCCAGGCACCTTGCTTAGTTCTGGAGATACAGAACTTCTCTGTGCTCGCTGAGTTCACAGTCTACTGGGAAAGACAGCCATATAAACCACAAATCATCATTTTTCTTAAACTTACTTTCAGTCAGTTCTACCTTTTGGGAGTAACAATTTCCACAGATCACAGACTATGGGATTTTAAGGTTAATGATCTTAGGTATTATCTCTTCTGTTTCATTCATTTTACTGATGGGGAAACTGTGGTCATTATTTGTTGTGGAAAATATTACAACTTCCTTTTATTTGCCTCCAAATGACTTCTTCTGGGTTTCAATCTCAGTTTAGTTCAATTAATCTTTATGAAGCATCTATTATGGGCAAGAGCTGCAGATCCAGTGCTGGAGAAGACCTCATTCCTGTCCTCAAGAAGGTCACTGTCGAGGGGGGGAAAGGACACCCAAAGAGATAACAGATATACCGCTTGATAAAGACAGGGACAGAGGTGAGCACAGGGTGTGAAAATACATATGAAGGGCCCCTAATCTGGATTTGAGGAGCTCAGGAGAGGCTTCCTAGGAGGAGGACCTGTGAGTCATCTCTTTGAGGGCAAACAAGATTGTGTTAGATGAAGATGTAGGGAAGGGTATGCCAGGCAGAAGGAAGCACAGCTTTGCTGGAGGACCTGGAAGAAGATGATGGTGTTGGGTGTAAAGAGGGAGGCGGTGAGGGCTGAGTGGAGAGGACAGTGGGGTAAGTGGCAGCAGGCCTGATGTGCGGCTGGTGGCCAAAGGCCATCTCTTCCTCCCCGGGTTTGATGAGCATATCCTTGCTCACGTTCCCTGTGCTGCCTGAGCTTTGAAGCCCCACCACGCTCCCTTGCCTTCAGCCTCATACAGGCACACCTCCATTTATTACTCATTGCTTTGTTGCGCTTTACAGATACTGCCTTTTTTTTTTTTTTTTAATAAACGGAAGGTTTGTGGCAAGTCTGCATCGAGCAAGTCTATCGGTGCCATTTTCCCATCAGTATTTGCTCACTCTGTGTCTTTGTGTCATATTTTGGTAATTTTTGCAATATTTCAAACTTTTTCATTATCCTATTTGTTATGATGATCTGTGATCAGTGAATACAACTTGCTGAAAGCTCAGATGATGGTTAGCATTTTTTAGCAATAAAGTATTTTTTTTAAAAAAGATTTTATGTAATCTCTACCCCCAATGTGGGGCTTGAACTTACAACCCCAAGATCAAGAGTTGCATGCTCCTCTGACTGAGCCAGCCAGGTGCCCCGCAATAAGGTATGTTTTAATTAAGGTAAACATATTGGGTTTTTTAGACATCATGCAATTGCACACTTAATAGACTACACTATAGGGTAAACATAACTTTTATGTGCACTGGGAAACCAAAAAACTTATTTGACTTGCTTTATTTCGATACTGGCTTATTGCAGTGGTCTGGGACCGAGATCACGGTGTCTCTGAGGTGGGCCTGTAGACCAGGCCTAATGTGTTTGAAGGAAGAGCCCATCCTTCAAGGTATGACTCAATACCCACCACTTCCATGAAACCTCTGTTGATTACCTTCTGCCTTCAATGAACTCTATTGTCTGGACCACACTTTGGGATCTCTGTTGTGGTTCTTTATCATCCCATGTGAGTGTAGCTTGCCTCTATGGGGAGACCATAAGCTCCTGAGGGCTGACTATGTGAGTCATATGGTTAAGTTTAGTTTAATAAATATCAGTAAGACTGAATCCTATTGATATGGATTTCAGGACAGATGGAAAGTACTGGGGGTTGGACAGACCTGGATTTGATTCCAGCTTTGCCGCTAGTTACCCGTTAGTAACTGTAGGTAAGTTTTCAAACTTGCCTAATGCCTCGGTTTGCTCATCTGTAAAATGGTTGATAGCTCCGACTCAAGGGTTGTTCTGAAGACAAGGTTATAGCTGGGGGCTAGGGGAGGTGCTGGGGCTTCCCAACAAGGAGGGTTTGGACATGCAGTGGAGGGACGAGAGGAGCAGGCCAGGATGGAAGACCTGATGTGGTCAGGCCCTGGGGCTGAGCAGCTCCCAGTGTGGTCTGGTGGGATGGCCCACTCACACTGACCTGCATCGAGTCCTCCTCCAAACCCCGTGAGACAGGGACTCTCAGTGTATAGAGTGGGAAGCTGAAGATTAGAAGCGAGTCATCCTGCCTGTGGTCACGTGGCTATGGTGTGGCAGAGAGGGCCCCAGCCTGGGCAGAGGGCGCAGGCCCCGCACGAGCGGCTCAGAGAGCAGGCTCAGGCTCTGCTCTCCCCACTCCAACAGGGCGGCCGCGGGGAGGGCGTGAGCTGCTTCGGTGTCTTAGCTGTCGAGCTCCAGCCCATTTCCAGATGAGTCTGCAGTCCATCTTCGGCTCTGGCCCAGTTTGGCCCTCCCTCCCCATCCAGGCTGTTTCTCACCCCCACCTGTGACAGCAGGGCACACTCAGTCCCTGCTTAGATCCGGGTGGCACAGCCCAGAGAGCCAGCGGCAGGAGGCTGGCCCAGAAAGGTCAGCTGAGGCAGGAGGTAGGTCACAGTGGTGGGGTGGGCACAGAAATGCCCGGGCCTGGAGTCTGTCCCTGGAAATTGATTTTTTTCACAGCCCAGATGCTATATCTGGCACTGAGAACCAATACCAACAGCACATTCTGTTACTAACAACATAGTAATGATAATTTATTAGGAAATCATTAAGCCTAAGTATGTGATTTGGAGCCTTGAACCAAACAGGTGGTCTGTTTGGGCATGGGGGAGGGAAAGCAAGAGGGGAAGGGAAAGGAGGTTAGGGCATGCTGGAGAGTGGGTGGGCCCTGGAGGGCCTGCATGGCCACGGGAAAACACGGGAGCCCGCAAGCTTGTGTCTCATAGGGGCAGTGGGGTGCGGGGGATGACCACGTCGCTGGCAATAATAACAACAATCAGGATTACTGTGTGTAAGTGTAATTACTCAGGTTTCTGGGCTTGTGGCTTAGATTACAAGTAATACTTAGTTCTTAATCCTCAGGGCCGATAGCAGGTGGGAGAGGTGAGACCAGACTGGCATGTATAGGGTCCTCTGGGCCCATTTGTGGGACCTCTGCCCCCTTGCGGCTCACCATTCAAGAGAGCGGCTTTTGAGACCCCCGTGTGGGTGCCCACAGCTGCCTGTGGGCCGGTGCGTGTACACCTACGCACACGTGTGCCCCTGTGTGGTGTGTCCGTGTGTGTGGAGGGCTCTCCTGTCCCCTTCCTATTCAGGGAAGCAGCTGGACAGAGGAAATCATTCCTCCTCTTAAAACCCCAGGTGTGCCTGGGGAACCCCATAATGACCCCTTCCTCCCTGATCCCTAAGTCCGCTGCCCTTAGAAGTGGAAACGCATTCAGCTCAGGTCCTGTCCTGCGTCTTTGGAACTCCCTTTGCACACAGTGGGAGCTTAATAAATACTTGATGATGGCCCTGAGCCCGGGAAGCCATCGCTGTTCCGAGCCCTGACTCCCAGAGGCCCGCGGGGCGTATCAGGTGGGGAGGGTTACCCCCCCCCCCAGGCCCTCTGCTGACTCCATGCCCCGCAGGAGGCGTCCTGCTGGGAAGGCGGTTTTTCCTCCACAGCGTCTCTCGGGTTCTTTCCCACCACCCTTGGAGCAACATTCCTGGAGCTGAGCGTCATGGCGGGAAGGCATCCTGGGAGAGGGTGTAGGAGCCCGGGGTCCCACCCACTGGGTTCAAACCCTAGCGCCCTCAATTACCAGCTGGGCACATCTGCCAAGTGACCTATCAGGGGCTGTGGGATTTTCTTCCTGTGAAAGGAGGATGACATCACGGCTGGAAATGACAAACGGGCGCCCTGCACACTCACTGCGGCGCTCAGTAGGTGAGCTCACGCACCTGGGGTCAGGACGGTGACCCTGAAGTAGTTGCTCGACGTCTCTGAGCATCAGTGTGTGCGCCGGGAACACGAGGCCCGCCTCCCCCGCGCTTGGAGGGCTACCTGAGGAAGACCCCGGCCATTAATGACCGTGTGTCTTGCCGCTGCCCGCCCCCGCGTCAGGGTGCGCGGCTCCCCTCCTCTGCAGGCCCCGCTCCGCCCCCCTCGTCGCCCCGCGTGCGCGCACGTCCCTGTCGCCGTGGCTCGCGGACGCCCGCTGCACCTGTCGCAGGAGGGAGGGCCGGCCCCGCGTGGGAAACTACAGCTCCCAGCGCTCGCTGCGGGGCCTGCGCCCTCTGCCCTCGCTGCGCGGCCCGGGGCGGGGGCCGCGGGCGGCTGGCCCCGCCTCCGGGGAGGAGCCTGCGCGGGGGCGGAGCTAGGAGGCGGTGGAGACCTGAGCCGAGCCAATGAGGGCCGCGGCCACTAAGTGGGCTCGGCTTGCAGTGTAGCGCCGGCCGCAGGAGGGGAGCAAAGCTGTTGAGCCCGCGAGGAGTGAGGCTGAGCCTGGCCGTGCGCGCTCCCAGAGGGCCAGCTCCTGAGACGGAGTTCCTTCTCCGCTGCTTCTGGCTCCGGGGCCCTCCTGCCCAGGGCAATGCATCCTTGAGTGGCGGCGTCTGGACCCCAGGCAGCCCCAGAGGACCGAAGTCAAAGAAAGAAGACTGGGGCCAAGACACCCGCTGGAGGCTTGGATGCCTGGCTTTCTCTGAGGACATCTTTGGAGCGAGGGTGGCTTTGGGGTGGGGGGTTGTGCTGCAGGGAATCCAGCCAGGCCCCAAGATGGACACTTCTGGGCACTTCCATGACTCGGGGGTGGGGGACCTGGATGAAGAGCCCAAGTGTCCCTGTCCATCCTCCGGGGATGAGCAGCAGCCGGCGGCGGCCCCCCAGCAGCCCCCGGGACCCCTGGTGCCGCCTCAGCCCGCACAGCTCCAGCCGCCGCCGCCACCGCCGCATCCCTTGTCTCTGCTCGCCCAACTCCAGAGCCAGCCTGTCCAGCCGGGGCTGCTGCACTCCTCTCCCACGACGCTCAGGGGCCTCCCTTCGGCCAACTCCACCGCCGTCCTCCACCCTTCCTCCAGGCAGGGCAGCCAGCTCAATCTCAATGACCACTTGCTTGGCCACTCTCCAAGCTCCACAGCCACAAGTGGGCCTGGTGGAGGCGGCCGACACCGGCAGGCCAGCCCCCTGGTGCACCGGCGGGACAGCAACCCTTTCACGGAGATCGCCATGAGCTCCTGCAAGTACAGTGGTGGGGTCATGAAGCCCCTCAGCCGGCTCAGTGCCTCCCGGAGGAACCTCATCGAGGCCGAGCCCGAAGGCCAGCCCCTCCAGCTCTTCAGCCCCAGCAACCCCCCAGAGATCATCATCTCCTCCCGGGAGGACAACCATGCCCACCAGACCCTGCTCCACCACCCCAATGCCACCCACAACCACCAGCACGCTGGCACCACCCCCAGCAGCACCACCTTCCCCAAAGCCAACAAGCGGAAAAACCAGAACATTGGCTATAAGCTGGGACACAGGAGGGCCCTGTTTGAAAAGAGGAAGCGGCTCAGTGACTATGCTCTGATTTTTGGGATGTTTGGAATTGTTGTTATGGTGATAGAGACCGAGCTCTCTTGGGGTTTGTACTCAAAGGTAGGGGCTGCGGTTTCTCTTTATACCTTGAACAAAAGGAATATGTAGGTAGCAACAGACAGAGAGGAGAGAGAGAGAGAGAGAGAGAGAGAGATTGATGGAGGGGAGAGGCGGTGGTGGGAGAGGCGTTTGCTCAATTATATGGAACACTCTAACTTCCCATGGTTTTCTTTCTGAATCCCGGGAGAATTCATTGCTCGCCTTCTTGGGGGGGGGGGCGTCCCCGTACACTGTCTGTTGCATACTGTGTTTGGGAGGAGGAAAGATTCCCTTCTGAGACATCGTTTTCCTCCTGGTTCACTCGTACCAAAGCGGAGCCCAGCGGCTTAACGCACCAATTAATTACACTCTGCCTTGATGTGCCTGCCAGTTCCTGCGACTTCCCTCCTCTGCTCCCCGCCCTGCTCCACTCCATTTTCCCGAGGATGGAAGAGAAATAAATGTCTGGGTGGGGGGTGGGGACGCCATCCTATCCCTTCTCCCTCTGGCTTCTCCCTCTCTTCCCAAGTTTCTGTTTTCCTCCTCGTCCCTGGCAGACTTCGGGCAAAATAGCAGAGCACTGGTGACCCAAGTCCCTTGGGGGCACAGGTGAAAACGGGCAGAGGGACCCCGCGGTCCTTTCCCTCAGGAAGGAGCGCTCAGCATAAAGCTGCCGTCTGTAAACAGCCGCTGGCAAAACTGGCTACAGGTGTCCCCAGCAGAGCAGGTGGGCGCCACCTTGGCCTTAGCCCCAGGGAGCGAGCACCTCTCCTTCAGATGGGATGACAGGGCTTCCCCACTGGCCGAGAGCCGAGAGCCCCCACCCCGGGCCCGCACCCCTGGCCCGTCTCTTGGGATCAGTGAGGTGCAGTGTGTGCACACCCGGCCGAGGCTGGCGGCTTGGCTTCAGCCTCGGCTTGGAAATCGCGGCCTCCAGGGGCGTGGGGATGGAGGCAGGTGGGTTTCCGCCAGTGCTCTGCCTGCTGGGGGCCCTTGCGCTGTGGGCTGGAGGGCTGGGGGCCCCGGGCACTCAGTGCACAAGTGAATTTCTTCCCACTATCCCCCTCACCCCCAATTTGTTGTGGGGGGAGGGTGTATGTGAGTGCGTGTGTGCGTGCTTGCTTGTCCCTTGGATTTCTCTTATTTGTCATTTTGGGCAGGGGGTGGCTGGGAGGGGTTCAGCTGTTGCAGGTTTCAAATAGAGCTTGTTTCAGGCTAGGCACAGCTGCTGTGGGACTGCCACATTCCTTGTTGAAATCCAGCCGCAAAAACCTGGGAGGTGCTGATCGGATTTCCCTCATTCCCAGCCTCCCTCTCCAGCAGTCATGGGCAGACCTGTCAGCCACCTGAGCAGCCAGCGCCAAGACGTCCTTGCACGCGGAGGGTCCCCCAGGGACCTGCTGCTCAGAGGGGGCTGCCCCAGCAGAGGGCAGCCCCTGGAAGCTGCCTGCATCAGAACAGTGCAAGGATTTGAGCCCCTCAGAGGGCAGAAGTGAGCGGGGTTTCCCCGGGAATAGCAGCTCACTTAGTCATCCCTGGAGCGAGCCTCTGAGCCTGCTGTGGCTCTCTCGGGGTTGCCACCCTCGGCACAGCCCTGGCTTCCCCCAGCCCCCCGTGGGGACCAGGAGCCCTTGCCGGGGGAGACTGATGAATGCCCAAGTGCTAGGGGGTGAGGGCAAGGGGCAAGACCAGCACCCCAGCGAGCCCCGTGGTCAGAACTCTTAAGGGAATGGCTCCTTCTGGGGACGCTCCCGGCGTGGGGCACCTTGGTCTTAGTGCCATGGGAGCGTTGTTGCTGGCAGGAAAGAGTCTGGGGCAGGTGCCACCCTGAAGGAGTATTCAGGGAAAGGGTCTTACCTGGAGCCAGGGAAAGCAGACTCTGGTGTGAAGGAAGGGGAGGCAGGTCCATGGGGCTGGGCCTCAGCTGGTTTTAAGCTGCTGACCCTCATGGCACTGTGAGGGGCCCTGACCAGCAAGGTCCTGCTTGCCCCAGCTGGTGAGTTGGTCACCTGTGTGCCCCTGGGACAGTGTGGGTGGTGATCAGCAGGGCTCACGGTAACCTGCTCCCCTGCTCCCCAGCCTCTCCATCTGCCCCTCTGTGCATTGAGTCATTCTGGGACAAGCATTTTCAGGGTGTCTCCTGGGTCAGGCCCTGTGGACCCAGGACGGGTAAGGCAGCTATCCCTCACCAGCCCCGGTCACAAACAGGATCATTGTAAAGAATCAGAGTGAAGTTTGAATCCCAGCCCTGCTGCTTCCAGAGCTGTGATCTTGGACCAGCTGTGTATCTTCTGCGAGCCCGTCTCCCCAGCTGTCAACGGGGAGAGCGAATCTGATAAGTGTGAGGCTCCAACACGGGGCCTACTGTCATTGTTATTAATAGTGGTGATGAGAGGAAGAGATGTCTTCTCCCCCCAACTCTGGCTCCAGAACCAGCTGGGCCCTCGACAGGCCGGAGCTAACACTTGTCAATGGCGTGAGAAGTTGCGTCCTGTTGGGGAGAAGTTCTGAGAAGGGGCTGGGTCTTCTGCCTGGAAATGGCCTCTACTCATGGCTCTGTTTTAGGGGAGGGTACCTCTGTCCCCAGTCTCCCCAGCCTGTCTGTCACGGGCTCTACCGTGGCAAGAGGGTTTGGGTTAGGACCGAGGGCAGCATGGCCATCTGGCGGGCCCTGGGCTGGGCCAGGCAGCAGTGTCTTTAGCTGGAGAACTCTGTGTGTCTGGTTGGCTTTGCTGACCAGTGTGGAGGTCGCCCGGGCCGAATGGGGAGCTCTGCACTGAGGGTGGCCCTTCTCACTCAGAGGCCCTTGGGAGAGGGCCACCCGTCCTCCCCAAGCGATGGAAGGCCACGAGCCTGTGCGGGAGCTGCCGCTTTCCGGGAGCTGTTTCCTTCCTCGGGGCTGCGGACTCCCATCTGCGTCTCTGGCTGATGTCTGTTGCTGGGGAGGAATTTGCCACATGGGTCTGCCTCCCTTGAGAAGGAACGTGGCCTGCCCTGAGCCTATTCAGAGTTAATGCAGAAGGGGGCCCGGGCGAGAGGGAAGTGGTCCTCGGTCCCCTCCTCACAAGCCACAGGTGATGGCGGGGGAGTGAGATGGGCCGATGCCGGGCCCAGGAACAGGAGGGCCCGGGCCGTGAGGCCAACTGGCAGCGAGGGGCCAGAGATGGCCCTCGTGGGCGCCAACGGGTGCAGGGCTGCCCCCCGAACTGGGCAGAGAGTCCAGGTTTAAGAAAAACAGGTGGATTTACCCCAAGGGCTTAGACACCATGACAGGGCCAGGCGCAGGGATCCTGCTGGGAACTCTGAGGGACTTGGTCTCTGCTGCATCTGCGCCAGTTGGGATTCAGGCAGCGAGTCTGCAGGGAGTCCTTCTGGGCGTTCGTTCTGTGGTCTTCCCAAGCTGGCTGGAGGCCTTGGACCGCCTGCTGGGCTCTGTCCACTGGGTGGAGGGAGAACCGGGGCCAGCCCCTCTCCCCGCCGAGCTGTGGACTCCCCAGCCCCAGCCTGCCACCTCGCTGTGGCTCGGCCGACACCTCTGTCCAGCTGACAAGTCCCCGTGGGCCTGTCTCCCAGGGACCTGTGGGGTCAGGCTGCGGGGCCACCTCGGGGGAGGCCGGGAAATGCTGGTACGGCGAGGCAACTCTCCATGTCCCCTGTTTGTGCCCAGCCTCCATCTAGCCCCGGGCTCACCATCCAACTGGGTCTCACCTCCTGAGCAGAGCTGACCCCTGCCGTCCCACAGCTTCCCCTGCAGTGGGGTGCTTCCCGCCACCCCCCTGCCTGGCCCTGCTGCCGGGCTCGCCCAGGCCATGGGCGGGGGTCAGGGGGACGGTGCTCCCCTGGCTGCCCTGCCTGACCCCCGTGCCTGGCTCCCTCTGTTCCTTCACAACACCTCGGGGGAGGCCCCCTGGAAAGGGCAGGCCCCTCTGCATGCCCAGGGCAGCTTGGTCTCCTGGCCATTTAACCCTTCAAAGAAAATGGGGTCCCTTCGGGGCGACATGTTGTGTGTCTTTGCTGACCTCACAGAGGTCTGGGAGTCCACCCTCAGCCTCCAGCCTGAACGACTGAGTAGGTTTGCAGGTCCCAGCTCTCTGAGCCCCTGCCTTCCCTGGCCGTGGAGGGCTCATGTGCAGAAGGGCAGGGCAGCGGGCGGGCTTGGCTGGGAGAATGGCCCGCACCTCCTGCCAGACCCAGGAGCCCCTGTGGGGTAGGTGGGCAGCTGTCAGGGGCGTCCTGACCTTTGGGAGGAGATGCCTCTGTGGTCTCAGGAGTGTTGGCATTGCTGAATGGGATAGACCCCTCCACGGACCCTCCCTGTGTGGGTGGCCTGCAGGACAGGGTTGCAGGAGGTGGGAGGGTCTGAGCCCACGCATAGGTTTTACTCTGGGGTCACGCCGAGTGTCTTGGCCCAGGGAGGGCAAGAGCGGCTCTGTGGACATGCTCCCACCCAGGGTGGTGGCGACCCTATTTACAACGCTTGTGGCCAGCCCACAAATGAGTCAAACGTTTGTAACCGCAGCGGGGACGACTCAGCGGTGCATGCCTGTCCTTGGCGCGTCATCACGCTGTTTATAGCTGTCCGGGGGAGAATTCAGGGTGCTTGTGACACCCCTTCCTCCCAGCGGCGTCCCCTGCGGCCCCGGGCACGGCGCTGTCGCTGGGCATGCATCCGCTGCACGGGCTAACTGGGAAGCCGGGGGCTGCCTTGCACGGCCCTTCCCCAGCTTTCAGGGAGGGACATTGGCCAGGCCAGGGTCCAAAGATCTGCTCTGAAAAAGAGAAGGTAAAGAAACATAAAATGAAAAGAAACTGGAGTCACCTCCGTGGAGGGGCTGAGGCCTGGCTGGAGGGGCAGAATCCTCACAGAGCGTGGGTTTGTGGGGGTTATTCGTCCAGCACATTTTGGGGGGAGAATGTGTGTGACAGAGTGCGGGGCTGTGAGGGGTGACTCGATGAAACACCGCCTTGCTCAGCTCAGCGGCTGCAGACCTGGTTTTCTCTTTCTTTCAAAACCCCAGAGG